ATAATTGCAATATTTTTTTGTTCGTACAACGTAAATAGAAAAAATAAATTCCGTAATTCTGTAATCACAGGCTAGACGTACAACGTAATCAATCAAATATTTTTTTCGTATACTGTAAAAATGTGTCATTTTTCTCGGTACGTACAAGAATTTACATCCAAATAAAAAAAGTCGTGAAGAATAATCCAGGAAAATTACATTTTCGAAACTGTAAAACGACTAGATAACACAATTCACTGCAAAATTGAATGTCAAGACGTAAAAGGCTCTCTAACCGAATGAAGAGCTTTACGAGGGTAATATGCGCATGAGTCTCTACACACAGCGCAGCAATGGCGGAGAATTCCGTAAAATGTAAAATAATGTTTATTTTCTCTGTAAACTGTAAACATTCAATTTTCACTGTAAACTGTAAAAACGTCTTTTTTTCCTTGTAAATTGTAAAAAGCCCTTTTTATTTCCCGTGAAACTGTACCAGATACCCTCTTGCCCCCTCTTCTGAATTTCCTTCCTCTCATCAATGAGTTTCCTTGGATTTGCTGGTTTTGACACCAAGAACTTTTTTTCCAGTTTCAACGTAAATGTTCTTAATGTTATCCCATTTTGATTTTACATCTTGTAGATTAAAGTCTTCTAGGGTACTAAACCAATTTAATAATTCCAGAATGAACTGATTCTTGACATCACCTGATTTCAGTTGGTGTATGTTAAGTCTTTGCCTAATCTGCTTACTAGCAATCTGCTTATTATAGACTAGAATATATGTGGCGTTCCACTCACTACGCCACTAAACTAAAGCCTAGGTACGATGCCAATAGATTTAAAACGTGACCCTTGTTCTGAGTATTCGTTCAATGAAAATTTGAAATTTTATAATACACATGCGCACACATTGTGATATATTGCTAGCATTCGATTTTTGTAGATTTGATTTCTATATGCTACACTGGAAACAGTTATATGCATACCAAGCATAGCTTGTCAAAGTTCAATTCTAACCAAACGTAATTCATAGAAACCCGTCTGCTCTAAACCTGTTAGTTTAAGGGAGTTGCAGTTGAATTTAAATAGTGTTGCTCCACTGAGCATGTGTGCAATCCATTTTGGGAATTCAAAATGAATATATTAAGACACTATACAAATATTATTAATTAATAATAACATGTGTTTTTTTTAACCGAAGTTACTGAGTAAAATTTATTGATATGAAATAATAGGTTCACAAAGAAACCAGTGTAAAAGATCTCGCAACTTCACAAAAAAATATCCAGCGACTCGTGACAAATTATTGGCAATGAACCCGTTTTATTGATAACATGAGATTTTATTTTCAATTTGGTCTTAATCTTGTCGGAAATTACAATATATATTTGTATTTGTTTAATATTACTATTTTTAATTGCATGTCATTTCTCTATAATTACTTCGTGTTATATATTCGTAGGAAAGATTATACTGAATAACGCTAGTTCAATGAGAATCCTTTAATTTCAGCCAATGAGAGCTAAGTTACTTTTCACGAATCATCTTCGTCGTTGTGTCAATTTCTTCACACGCAGACACTGATTTGTATTTACGGCCTGGAAATGCTTTCTCCCACGTTCGCAATGCTATTTTTTTTTCACTTGTAAGCAAGTAATATGTTCGTTAAATTCACCAATAAATCACAACGTGTTTTTGCACATGTAAATTAACTCATAGTTATGGAACACTTCTGAGAGTATGTTCTCTGTACCCCACAAATCTTCTTAAATTTGCGTTTCCATGTTGTCTGATTTGCAGCTGAATTCTGATATATGGTATCAAATAAAAATGAAGCATGGACCTATAAACCATGGTTTAAATGAACATGAATATAAATCACGTGATCACTGATCACTGGAGTGATTACAACAACGAAACTAAATTATGTTTATTAATTTGGTGATCCGACATCACGATGTTTCTATCATGCGCAGACTAGTTCCAGTTCTCCAATACTGTATTTACACTTGTCGGGCAAGCAATTAGCCCTCTATTTATTAGACGTTTTCACTTTATTTATATTAAAAAGACGCGCCTCTGTACATTGAATAAATATTATTATTATTATATTCTATAATACCCATATATTGAATATATCTTGCCATTTGTAACATTGCCTGGATTTTTTATATTTTAGGATTTGTTGCCATGCCAACTTAAACATTTGTCATGGTGATCTCAATAATCAGTGACAATTGCGTATGACAACGGGAATGCAACGTAAAAACATACCGTCACTAGTTGTAATGTCTACAGCAATGTCGATAGTTTGTGGACATATCGAGTCGAATTGAAAACACGTGTGTTGTTTGCCATTTGACACGAGGGCGGAAGTACATATGGTTCTTTTGTTGAAAATAAACTCCTTTGTTGTATATCCTGTGGCCTCACCTAAAAGTCAAAAACAAGCTACGATGTGAATTACTCTAATGTGGTTGCCATGGATACATAAAAACCTGTAAATTTCATATTATGTTCTATTTCATATATATTAGCAATAAAAAAAGGTCACTGACCGCGTTCATAACAAGAGTGTACGTGTTTGTTGTTGTTGTTGTTGTTGTTGTTGTTGTCTAGTGACGCAGTTTATATACTCGGAGGATTTTTAGTAAAAATGTTTCTTTCAAATATATAAGAAAATATACCTTTCCCCCAAAACTATAGGCATTGATACGCGGTAAGGATGATTTAAAGCTGAGTACAATATTTTTGAATACAAAATGGTTACTGGCAAAATTGTTATAAATATGTTCAATCTCATTTTTTATTTTTTATAAAAAGATATGGGAAACGTGGAAATTCTTGTACGCCTACCGAGAATGGTTAGTTATGAATATAAATTGCATGGAACATTCAAATTCACCTCCATTTGTTGGTCTACATTTATACTCACACACATCGCTATTTTCAGATGTTTAATATATGACAATAGTGAAACATTCATTATCATGGAAACAATATCGGACAACAGAAACTCAATGGACCTCCAAATTGCGGTCGGTAGAGGGCGCAATATGCGATGTTTACGATCAATGACACAAGTATAATGGCATATTTATTTACTTTAAATATTCAGATTGGCATTTAGTTTTAAGGTTATTAATTAGAAATACATTTTTTCAGCGACAAGTATGAGAGCATACGAACGATATTAAATTTTGGTTTGAGGTATAAAGTGAAAATAGGCACACCCGAATACGCATTATATTAGTCAGTTTATGACCCTCAGCAACCTAAGGCATTAAATAGACCTTGTACTATTTCAATATTTTATTGACTTGTGTGCGTCGTCTGGCGTTGTATTGTGTATTTCAGCTAATTAGCATATCGCTCCAATCATCAAAACAAATTATTACTTATGTATATATGTGTATGGCGTATACTATTTTAATGACGTCATAAATATATTTATCGTGCTTTTGTGTTTCTATGTAAAGCTGGTTCTCATTCATGTATAGTTGTTATGTATTTTAGAAATTCACATTAAATAAATTCACACAGACTAATGCATCTGTCACCTGTATCAAACTATTGAAGAGCGCCGCCTGTGTCAACACCTGTCGAACTAATTGAATTTGGTACAGACTTTTAGACTTATAGCAGTAACAATACTTCGAGTTAATATCCGTCTACAATTAATTGTTTTATTGTTAGCAACAATGTTGACGTTTTTGATTCACTGTCAATCCGTTTTTTGTCAATATGCATAAAATGAAAATTCAGTATCGGTTTTCTTAGAACACAATAAAAACACATTTCGTCATTCAAAACCCAGTAATTATGCTTTTTATTACGCGAACAAATACACTGTAAATCACTATGATATAATTCATCATCATTATATTGTCACTGAACAAAATGGTGAGATATTGAGATACATTGTTACCATGACAATTAAGGGCGAGTACAGTGACTTCATATTTTTATTTCAGTTTCTTTGTCTGTATGTGAAAGGAAATTACATATATGTAAAAATGAAAGAAAGTGACCGTAATTTTACCATTGAGTAGCATTCTAATTTAAGTTGATCTTTCCAATATACACTACACAGAACTTGGAAGTATTACAAATAACTTGAAAATACACTGTGATTCAAAGTTGATATAAAATCAACCTGGTTGAAAACAAGGTTATTGCACGAGTGTGTTTTTGCGGTTTTCACAATAAAACAAAATGGCAAAAACGGTAGTAAAAGTAAAACAAAAAAATTAAAAAGCCCAAAAGATAGATCACGTTTTTTATGAGGTTAGTCTAAATTCGCGTTGCTTCTGGCATTCTTAATAAATTCAAGTTTTGAAACTGGGCTTTGGCTAGAAAAGTCAGAATCTATTATCAAAAAGTCAATTTAAATGACATCGTGTACGCCATCCTTGTATTTTCATGGGTATTGTTGTTGTTATTCAATCTAAAGCAAACTGTTGCAAAATAATCGACAAATAACCTCATTCAATGTAACTTCAAGGGCGTGCATCCTTACAATTTCACGGCCTAATTTTATTACAGCCATATCTAATGATTTTTAGTTACAGGGGTTGATCGATGTTATCCTCGTCACGTGATGATGTCATTGAGAAAGTTAGTGAAAAACTATAAACACCACCCAGATATGGCCGGCATTTCAAAAATACACATATAATAAAGTTATTTGCTTAAGGTTTCAAGCATTACTTTTTAAGCTTTACTATGCCTGAAAGGGTGTAAAAAGTCAGATTTTAATGACTCTCCAAGGCCTACGCGATACACTGGTGTGATACAACGCCAGTCGGCCCTGATGGGGGTACTCTTGAGGTCACGTCGGGGTCACGTTACCATTGATATGCTAATTGAAAGGAAGTATATTTACGCGACAGCTATTTACGTGCAGCCTAGAAACCAGCAGCTTTACAACGAACAAACATATACCACATAGCGTGAAGTCGTTGACATCTGATTGCTTGAGTAACTGTACATTTATCTCCGTTCGTGTGTAGTTAGCTATGGGGTGTAGCGGCAGTACATCGGGAGGGAAGCTAGCGGCAGACAAGGACACCACAGATACTTGGCGCAGCGATGAGGTACCTCCTGGCAAGGAACAACCTGTCGACAACCCCGATCGCGCCGAACCGTACGGTGATGACGATCTTGCCCTTGGTGTGGCTGTGGTATGTGACAATAATATTATTATGTATGATAAATATGTGCGTAAGTATTAGTAGTTGTCTAAATATGTTTTCCCGATTTATATTACAATTTATAAGTTTAAAACTCAGGCTGTCTTACGAATCTTCGAAAGCGAAAGTGACACAACACAACAGCGACCTTCGCTTCAATAGCCGTGGTTTCGTATCGTATTGGGTCCGGATAGGAGCTGGGCTGTCGTGTAGACGAATACAGCGACTACTATAGTAATCTACTACACAATTAAAATCTTTGAAATAACCAAAGCAATATATACCAACTTGGTGTTTAGTATAATAGTAGTATGACAAGTATTTAAAACTTTTTTTGTTTTTTCATCTTCCAAAATAACTTTAGACCACAAGTCACTCCAGTAGAGTGTTTTTTGTTTTTTGTTTTT